ACCAAAAAAAAAAAAAAAAATTCAAATTTTTTTCGATCGAAATTTAAAAAAAAAAAACGTACCGATCGAACGAAGAACCCCTTGCCGCCGCGTTTAGATGGTCCCGACATTTTTTCGGAATTTTTTCGGACGTCAAACGAGCAAAAAACGAGAGAAAGAGAGTAGAAGAGAGAGAGAAATGAGGTGGAGGGTAAAAAAGTCTTTGGGCGGTGGCGATAATAATCGAAAAGAGGGCGGTGTTTAGCGTTTCACAAAATTATAGTAGGCAATCATTTAGCAATAAGCTAATGAATTAGTCTTGATATAGATTTATGTGGGTCAAGCGTTGAATTGATATAAATTAGATTTATATGCGACTCAACGCAAGAGGCTTAGAATAAGCCAAGCCACCATATAATTAAGTTCCATGTATCAATGATATAACGTGTAACCTAAAAGTTAAATAGATCTATTATGAAGCATGCATTGCATGGATATAAATAATATTAATTAAAATTTATTATTTGTTTAATTTGATGTTTCAATTTCCACCAACTTCATTGGTCCATGGGCCATCGGTCCTAATAAATGAGATAAATATGATAGCTTAAAAAGACCATTATATGATTCCAAAAAGTTTTTGTCCCATTAATTCATAATAGACAAATCATAGACCATAAAGGGGCCAACTTATGTTGTGCAATCTTTGTGTAATCCTTCATTACCATTTTATCAAGAGATTTGTGCCGATTGAAAGAGGAGGAAGATGTATCTTTTTACTTGTAAACTTATCTCTATTTTATAAATAGATTTGTAATGAATATAGGATCGTGTAAACAAATTCTAAGTGTAAATCGTTTGTGTCGATGTACACCGCAGATTTTTAACTAGAACACTATAACTTTTCGAACATTTGTTTGTTATTTGTTATATTTCGTTTTGTTGAATTGTGTTTAAGTGTGGCGTTGATAAATATTATGAATTGTATGTAACCTGTTTGTTGACATGTACGGCACCTCCGTTGTTTGATCATCAGCACGCCGAGAAAATGAGCTTGTGTCAGTCTTTTATAATGATTGAACACGAGAACCACTTCAGAATACATTTGCTAGCCATTGAAGTTGAATTTCTAAAAGAAAAAAATAAGAGCCAAATAAATTCAACGAGAAGATTAAAAATAAATCAGTAGATCTGCGGCCTTAAAAAGGCTTGAACAAAAAAAAAAAGGGGGCCGTAGAACTAAAACAAAGAAACAAATGATTAATTAAATGGTATTAAATGTAGGAAGAAAGAAAAGAATAAAATGCAGACTAGAAAAGATGAAAAATGGTATTAAATGTAGGAAGAAAGAAAAAGAATAAAATGCAGACCAGAAAAGATGAAGCGATGACCCATAAGATTTATGACAAAACAATCCACATCTCATCTAGTTTTACATGATTATGCAATAAAAGTACGCATAATCGTTACTTATTCAGTGTTACAGATTTGTATATGCGTGTCGTAAACTATGCAAAAATGCGTCACATAACATAAAATATGTGATGTTCGTTCGAGATATGCGTGTAAACTTCATTAAGGATCTTGAATAAATAATTTGGTGTATACGAAATACTTACTTGATGCGGAAGACGACATAATTAGTGATCTTGATCTTGATGATCACACGAGGCTTGATCGATTGTGAGATCTAAAATCAGTTTCTCCCTCCTGACCGTTCCTTAACGTAGCAGAAAAGTGATGGGATAAAACTGCGTACCCTAATAGGAGGAGATAGGACTAATTTATATAGGGGTGTCTTTAGATCTGGTACGTCCATCAAATATCCAGATTAATGGCTTAGATTTGTTTGACTATTAAATAAAGGCCAGCCCAATAGGATAATTAATTGTGAGCCCAATGCTTTCGGGCCACATATTCTTACAATGCGATAACAGAATATGCGAAAGTTATTGGATATGCAAATCGGGAAACTATGCGAAACTACGTCGCATAACATAAAATATGCGACGTTCGATTTGCGTTATGGGATAACATAATATGTGAAAAGTTGTCGCATATGGTAAATTATGCGGTGAATTTGGATATGCGAGTCGTATACTATGCGAAAATACGTGGCATAATATAAAATATGTGCAGTTCAATTTGGATATGCAATATCACAATATGCGAAATATTCTAGTATATGGTAAATTATGCAATAAATTTGGATATGCGAGTTGTACACTATGAGAAAATACATCACATAACATAAAATATGCAACGTTCGATTTGGATATGTGATTAATCGAACATTTCACATATATTTCGGTTCATTAATCGAACAGTTCGGATAATTGTTAATTAATCAGTTCATTTAGATATGCAATTTTATATCCCATATAATTTTGTGAGTATTAGAGTGAAAAAAAAAAAGTTTTTTATATAATTTTGTGAGTATTAGAGTGAAAAAAAAAAAAAGTTTTTTATGGAACAATGTGTAAAAGAAAATTAATGTATATATTAGATTGTAAAAAAAAAAAAATCGTCCTTTTTAGTATATCGTTTTAATTTATATAAAAACACTGTTTCAATTAGAAGTGAGCAACTGTGCGGTTCGGTGAGAAACCGCACCGAACCGCAAAAAACCGAACATAGCAAAAA